TATGGGCAATATGAGAATGTTTCCATTAGAACACATTGCACATAAATATAGACAAGTCAATTCTTGAAAAAAACATCCCGGTGTCACATGCTAAATGCCATATAATTTATTTCCCAACCATGACTGGCCACAAGGAGCGAGCTTTATGATGGCCAGGGAAGCTATGTGGTGTTCTGGCCTCCGAGGACTTAATTCTATTCCATCATTCTCACCACTGCCCTGAGAAATACTGAAATGAAGGGCTTATTCCCCAGTTACACTGGCAGTCTGGATTTGCTTCATTGAACAACAGGCCTTGCCACCAGTGTTTGAAACCTCGAGTAAGGGCCAGGAATAATGACTGGCAAGACTTTTGCATAGAGACTTTTTTTTTTAACAGCCTAGAACTTCTCAAGAAAGTAGTTGTTTTTCTTTATAACTGTGACTGGCTCTGCTTCCTAATAGAATGCACTTGTTCAGCTTATTGAGTCACCCTATTAAAATAAACTGCCTTGATGTAGAGATACATCTGTAACAGAACACCTTCCAGTCGCCAGAGCCGATGCAGGCACAGCACTGATCTCGTGGCTTGGTCCTATCTGATTCCTTTTGCATCGCACAATTCTGACGCAGATGTACACACTGTACAAAGAACTGGAATTTTATAGCGTGCAAGCATTGGTTTTGGGGTTGTAATTGGTTTTATATCGTCTTTACTGTAAATGGGGAGGAAGCTAAATCTGGCTTTAACGAGTTCTTGATAGTAAAGATAAAATATACTATATAGCGTACACTATATATGGGCTATACAGTACCACCTATCTCAGCTCTTCAGGGATTCATGGGTTCCTGCAAACGAGAACGTTCTCAAAACAATATAAATCATCAGGCCGACTCAATTATTTTCCATTCTCTCCTGTTTCAGATAAGGCTGACGTGGCTTTTTCTTGGCCCCCTTCTCTAGCTCTTCAGAGTGACGTTGCTGTTTAACAGCTTCTAGACAAAGGCCATACAACTTGTTTTTCCATTCTGCCTAACTTCACGTCTCAAACTGTTTCACACCTCAGTTTCCTTGTCTGAAAGGAGGGAGTGGGAAGTGCTCTTTGCCCTCCAGTCCTTAGGAGTTATAACCTAATATACGTGTAAGCAATCTCCTGTTAAACTGCAGAAAAACAAAATTGACACTTTTGCTCAGTACAGGTAATAGATATAGCCTGGACGTGCAAAACCTCTAGAAAATATTGCTTATCCAATTTTGATATTTTATTAGCCGAGCTCCTATTAGGAAGTTCCTAATAAATTTAGAATTTTGGAAAGTCATTGAATCTTTAGACAACTGTACTTGTTTCTTTTACTTATTGTGTATTTAGGAATTCATCTGGTGTGCAGCGTCTGGAGAAGGACACTGTGCCTTCCTGTAGAGATGGCAGGGCACCTTTGTCTTTTTTTTTTAAACAAAGAGCACACTGAAATATAGTATTGTAGTAAATTCAGAGTGTGAGCAAGGGCACGTTAATAAGGCAGGTGATGCTTTTTGCTTTTTCTGCTGAATGCTCTGTTTTTGATAGCATTTGGGAACGCTGGTTAACTGTCTGAGGATTTGCCAGGCTTGAGCATTGCTGGACTTGACTGTCAGAGTAGTGATAGTTTCACTGGATTCATCTCTGTGTTTACAAACAAAATACATCTAGTAGATCTTGAAACTTGCCTCCAGTGCTGCTTCAGTTTAATTTGATCTGCATGAAAATGAGTTGCACAAACATTTCTATATTGCTGTGAATACTATCAAATTTACACCTGAATTTGTGAACAATCCTTCACAAAGTGCTTGTGCTGTTTTTTCCCCCGCAGTTTGATAGCTGGCTCTCCTTGTACATCATGCAGTGTAACACCATGACAATGTTCAGAAGGCACCACATCTATCTCATTGTACAGAGAGAGACAACTTTTCAGCTGCAGACACTTTGTAATACCAATGCTGTTCTATGGGGCAGCTTAGCTGCGCTTGTCCATAAAAGGCAAGAGGCATTATGTCCAGTGATACAAACAAAGGCAAATATTATGTCCATCATGTTTGAGGTTGTCTTAAAATTGAGTTCCGTACTCCTGCTGTGACATCAAATCTACATACATTTCTTTTTTATCTTTAATAACCTGTTTGTTATCTCCCTTCCCAATTATCTCTCAAGCTCACTGGTATCACATCATTCAGTAAAAACCTGATGGCCCTCTTAAAGAGTCAAGGAGGGAGTCGGGGCTTACCTTGTATTGGAAGTAAAATTGGTAACTGGGTGGAATCCAAGGCACAAGCGGTGGTGTCCTGCTTTTCATCTTTCATTAGCTACACCCAATTTAAGGAATGACATGTTGGTACATTTTTCCATTTTGTGATTATTAAGAAATCAATAAATTAGCAGAACAGTCAGCTTGTAAAGTTTTGTCTCATAAGACGTAGGCATAATATTACAAAGATTAAAGTTAGACAGAACTAAGGTGAATGTTCTACTTTGTTCTCTTTGATTCTTTCTTTTAGACACCAGATTTCTGGACTTTGTTCATTGTAACTATCAACCTTTGCAGTCTGGTTGTACTTTGAAAACTTTCATGTGTAAACTTTTCTGTAGTGAATTTAATGAATTCAAGTACTTCAAGTAAATGCGTGATATCGGCTCATTATGAAATTACCCAATTGGCGTAGCCTAACTATGGATTTTTTGTTGATAGGATTTGTATTTGGGTGACACACATTAGCTCAAAGGTTTTGTACCCTTACCCAGAAAAAAATATTTGAAACCACGAATATCTTCTATTTCATAATCTGTTTCTATACTGTACAATTTGTATTTCATGACAATTTTAAGAAGCCACATTTATGTTACAGGTGATAAGCACATTATCACAATTTTTGAACAGTAGAAGCATTGTGCTTAAGTTCTTTAGTTCAAATCACATTTACAGAAATGTGCACAAATTACTAAGAGTAAAACAAATAGAGCTCATATTGCAGAGTTCTGCTTCTATTCTTTCCAAGGATTATAACCATTCCCCATACAATGTGTACTGAGACACTCCAGAAACACAACAGGTATTTTCATCCCTAAATACTACTTATATCATCATGACTAACCTGAATGAGTGTGATATTATGAGAGGTTAGATATTCCTGCAGAATATGCTCAAGCTCACATTTCCTATATGCACTCTTTGCTATGAAATATATTTCGGATTTGCTCACATTTTCTTTCATCCACAGACTACACTGCCAGGAGGAAGTATCTGTAATTTGCCTAAACCTGATCAATTTCATTTAAGACATAGGGTTGCTTTTACTACTTGATAGATGTCTGTAGGGTTGCAAAATTAAGATCTGTATCTTAAATTATTTAATTCACTAGAAATCCTAACTCCTCTTTGCTGGGATGAATGACTAGACGTGATGCAAGAAGATGGTAATGCACAATGTTTATTATACATAATAAACTAGGGAATAGCACTGCCGCAAATGCAGGGCGCCAGTACATTTGTCTGTGACTATCTTGCCAAGTGAAATGAAGTTTCTGCAGCCAATGTTTAGGTTCAAAGCATGAATATATGGACATTTGAGGTGGCAAGGGATTATTTTTGAGACTAAGCATTGATTTCTTTGCAGTAGTTAGCTTTCAGGTTTTCATACAGCCACCTTCAAATAGATATTGCAAAAATTATATATAGAAAACTACTTGAATTCTACCAGGGCTGTATATAATTGTCAGTACTTTCTGATCACAGCTTACAGCATATATTAAATACCTAATTATTTATGCAATCCAATAACTACAGCCTACAGCTTCCTATCATTGTCTACAAAGATATCAGTTGTCAGTCAACTGTCAGGCAGTATTTATCAATTTAGAGAGCATGCAGAGGTTCTTTCCATTTTTTCATCCTCTAAATAGCATTCCAGTTTAATCTTGTTTGCCTTGCTGAATTACAATTTCTGACCTCTTAAAGCAGATTCCATTAACCATGTAGTTCTTAAAATTAATGGAATTTGACTTGAATTTCTGGATTTTGTATTTCGTATTTCTTGAAGGAGGCTAGCTTAGCAAGGTCAGGTAAATTCAAATGAAGCACGTGTGTAAGTGTCCGACCAAATTGGAAAGGGTCTGTAGGCTGTACTTCCGAAGGCTCCCGATGAAAGCATGTGTACAATTTTTTTTTCTTCTACCAGAACCCCTTCCCCAAGTAGGTAACAAAGGAGTGTGGAAAAATCATTCCCTGTCTGTTTTGGTTTCCATCTAACAGCAGGGGTTCTTATGTTTTTCTCTCTCTCTCTCTCTCTCTCTCTTATCTCTCTCTCTCTCTCTCTCTCGTTTTCTTTGTCCCTTTCCCTGTGCTTCTCTCCCTGTGGCTCCGGCTCGCTCTGCGCTGGCAGTGATGTGCACGTCAGGGGCTGTGCAAGTGCTCATCCCTGGATTTGTTGTGGTCCAGGAGTAACCAGGAGGCTGGCCCTGCTAGGGAGGGAGTAGAGGGGAAGAGAAAGAGGGAGGGCATCTCTGTAATTTTAATTTCACTTTTTTTTTTGGCATTGTTATCACGGCATTCACTCCTCCGTGGAAAGAACAAAAAGGGAGGGGGTGTGTGAGAGAGGGGAGGGTGGCAGAGGACGGGGTGGGGTGGGAGGGGGGTGTTGTAGCATTGATTGGCTGTCTGAGGAAAGCCATTTAATTTGAGGATTGGACAAGAATCTGCGTCAATTTGCCGGCCGTCTCCAAGACACTGGCGATGCTGCCACCACAAGCTGCCTATCGTCACAGCTCCATCACCCAGCGGGGTGTGGGCTTCCTCTCCCCTTCCAGTTCACATTTCTGTTTTATTTATACAGAGAGAGAGTGAGACTGGAGAGAGAGAGGTCTCCGTGTGTGTGTGTATATTTGTGTGGTGCTCATAGATTGCTTCTTAGTATTCTTCTCTCAGTGTTTTGGCTGCTGCTGCAAATTTCACCGCTCTGGCACTGACAATGATTTTTTGCAATCACTTAGGTGAATACAAGAAGGACGAACTCCTGGAAGCAGCGAGGTGAGTATGCACCCCAACCCCCCTTGTCTCCCCCCCCCCCCCCTCGAAAGAAAAAAAAAGACAGGGGTAGGTAGTGTTGTGGTTGGAACTGCACGTGGGTTGATTTCAGTTAACTACTTCATTGTGAAGGGTTTTTTCTTATTTTATCAGCAAAGAAGTGTTATAGATGCATGCTTTTATTGTGCATGTACATGTGCATGTAATAATTAACCTCGTGCAATACTGTTGCTTCTTGTGCTGAGTGGAGGTGCTGGCATTAATAAAAGCCTTTTCTCCCAGGCACTGGGGGACAAAGTGAGCAAGACAGGCAGCCCTCTTAAATTTGTTATTTTAATTTATTTTTTGCTGTAAATAATGCCGTGCCAGAACATCCTGGTGTTTTAATTGACCAGCTGGGTCCTTATTTGTTACACAATCCCTGGAGAGGTGATGTTACATGAAGATCACGCACAGAGAGTTTAGAGAGAACTTCACATCATTGCCCCTGTTGTCTTTAACCTGCAATATGTCAGCTTTTTATGTGTAGTGTCTGCTAAAGGGAGTTTCTCCATATTCTTAATAAACAGCTGTTAATGTAAATGTATTCATTGTCACACAGACAGAAATTGAGTAATACTGTCTCTCTTGATTGAGGACTTGCTGAACGAGTTGCTTGATGTAGTATTTTTTTTATTCATAGCAACAAATGTATCATTCACCAATATGCCGTTTGATTATGTATTTACTTCTATGTGCACTGCATTAAGTACTTGCATGAAGTCAAATGATGGACCTGTTTTCTATATATAAACTAGTTACTTTGGTAAGATTCAAAACTAAAGAGGATTAAGGTTCACTTCCCATTAAATAAAATGTTTATGTGAAAACCAAGCACTATGAAGGCCTGTCAAACAAAAAAAATATAAAAAAGTGTATGTGATGTTTTGAAATATAACACTATTAGGCTTATTCATATAATTGTATGGAGGAGCATTTTGACTGAGCAGTGAACCCTGACAGACTACAGAAAGCCTGTAGTTCGGTTTTTCGGCAGGAATAGGATGTGCCGAGGATATTGTAGGCCGTTAAATACAAAGAAAAATCTCTTTAAGTAAAGTATAAAATGTAATGTTTGTATCATAGCTGACTGTACATTGCATGTCCCTCTTCAAACCTTATGTTAAAGAATGTATGATGACACAAAGTATAAAATTCAAAAATGCCGAAAAAGCCAAATGAAAACATAAATGAAATCAGAGACAGCTCGCATTTATTACTTTATTTTGTAGTTTCTTGTCTTACGCATTTGTGTGGAAATTATAAATCAGTCTGCTTTAGACCAGTTAAGTGTAGTTCACAGAATGTGGTGAAAAATGTGACATCTCAGAGTGCATTGACTCTTTCAGTGGTCTGTACTTGTTTTGGCTATGAATGAAGCTGTACAGCATTTCTTGAAAAAGTGCAAAAGGGGCAATCTAATCCTTGATTCTTTTTACGTGCTATGTTTAATGCATAATGTATTGACTGGATTCAGTAATGTTTTCATGCTTGGTTCACTACGTTATGAGATTTCTTAGTCAGGTATAAAACTAAATACGAAACGACAGTGAATCCACTGGACCAGTCGTTTATAATAGATTCACAATTCCTGCCAAAATACTAAAACCTGGCCTTGGCTTCTTACAGAGTGGAGAGATGCAGATGCTAGAAAAGACACACCAGACAGTGCATTTTAAGGACAGAATGTTGCTTTACCAGAAAAAAATGATTTATTTAGCTTCTGCAATCTTATGTATACAGTATTATTAAGATGGAAGGACCTATTTGGAACTTGCTTATAGCTTAGGTAACTAAGGTTTAAGCCAGGCTCCTAAGTGGCTAACCTGTAGGCATGCTCAGTTTTCTAAAGGTGCGCTACACTTACCAGTAAATAAGTGGCACCAAGTCCAAACCATGCACACAACTTACATTATTAAATCCACATGAACATTTGGTGTCCTGGCCAAATTTCCCATTGGCCCTTACCAATCATGGCCTCATAATGATCCCCATCTATGAATTGGCTTCGTTACTCTGTTCTCCTCCACACTAATCCCTGCTGATCTGAGGGGAGCTTTCTGGTGCACTATGGCTGCTGTCACATCATCCAGGTGGATGCTGCACATTGGTGGTGGTGGAGGGGAATCCCCATTACCTGTAAAGCCCTTTGAGTGGAGTGTCCAGAAAAGCGCTACATAAGTGTAAGCAATTAATCATTATTAAAATCTGATCTTCAAACTCGCCCTGCATTCTGTCAATCCAGCTATGCTGATTAAACTGATTTGATGGACATCTACAGGTGGATAATAATTAAAACATTAAATAAGATAGAAAACATAAAATAAGGTAGGCTATGGAAAAATCAGGGCTTTGGTATTGCTTTTAGTTACAACCAGTCATCTTAAGCCCAACAAACTCAGGAACGACTTTCTTCAGGACAGTGAAGGGTTTCCATAGAACAGAGGTGGATTGTAAGAATGACTTTGTGTTCGACTGGAAAAGCCCATTTATGAGTCCTGCCTGAAATGCAGTTTTGAATGATGTATTACATGCAAATACACCTGTCTGAACTGCTTTGCCACAGAGCTGCGCTATAGCACTGATCTGCTTGCACCACAGACATCACGGATGGCTCATTTTTAGAAGTGACTCACATGCATTTGTTTTTTTTGTGACAAGTCCTGCAGGCAAATATATATTCTGCAAGAAAACAACAAGAAATGATAGCAACTTAATGCTTCGCTAGGTGATCAATTATTATGATCTTTGTCCTTTTAAGCTACCAGACTGCTGCATGGAAGTCATGCATTTTCCCTGTCAACACAGACGTTTAACTTTACATTATTTACTGTGGAGGAGATGTGAAATATGAATCGCAGTCAATACTAGAGATGATCTGTAGCGTAAACATAACTGTTTTGCATCGTTTGGGACAGCCAAATTTGTGTAGTAAGGCGGTTTTACTCCAGGATGGACAGCCTTGCTAAAATATTAACACGTAGGGGGTTCCTTTTTTTTTCTTCAGGGTGACCTTAGGCTGTTCAATACTCAGCAACCTTCTCGACAAATGCTTTAAAAAAAGCCAAGATCCCACATTTTGTTCGTTCACCAAGAACCCATGAGGCCACTGGCTTGAAGCACTGGTCCCAACTGTAGACACGTGTTGTACTCTGATCTTTGGGACAAGATATGATTCCTCAGGCTGGTGGGGGTAAATGCTGCTGGCCTGCAGTCAGGAATTAAGGTGTTTGAAAGACGGGTTTAGAGAACGTCTGCCATGGCATGTAAATAACATCACTAAACTTTCCAGAGGTCATGATAACTAATACTCAACTAATTAGCTATTCAGTTGCCCTTGAGCAGCTCTAGATATAACCGACGTTGCTGTTCTGTGCTGTTTTTTATCGCGTAATAGCGACTGGACGTACTTATGACTCGTGACTTTCGTTTAGCTGTGTCTGCGGTCGATAATTTTTCATTTTCTCAAGGGGGAAACAAAAGAGGCACCAGAGGTTTGCTGGATGCTTTATTTTTCCATTTTTTCCTCCCTCCACCCCCAGACTGTCTTGACTCGAGGCTCATTTTCCTGATAAATCTCATCCAGGAATTTTGTCACAGATTGATTTCTAGTCCTGGTGAGATGCAGTATGGTAGGATTTTGTTGCTTATTTATTCTTCATTCCTTTCCATCTGTAGTCGGGAAGGACATGATCTGATGACGTGCTGAAGGTCGCACAGTGGTATGATTTGCACTTCAGGTGTCGCGTATTGTGCCTTCAGAATTGATCACCAATTCTGCTAGGACCATGAATCGCAAATAAATGACAGCACTACCTGGAAGATGGTTTAAGCATGCCCTTTTTATTTAGCTTTTAATATGTTCCAACCAGTCTTACCTTAACAGTGATGATGTTATGTCTCCACTGGATCTAATGCAGTTTGCATTGTTATTCTCTCCTTTTATTAAATGCTGTTTTGCTGCAGGAGCGGTAATGAAGAGAAGCTCATGGCCCTGCTGACTCCATTAAACGTGAATTGCCATGCGAGCGATGGAAGGAAGGTAAGACAGTGGTGTGACCTCAGCTGTACATTAAAACAAACTGAAGCCCAGCAGCTGAGTATACATCCAGTATATACTGAGTTGATTTATGAAAGCCTTTTTGTTGTCGTTGCCTTTTTCAATGTCAGTCCTAAACTTTACCACCTGGGCATTTTGTGACTAAGCACAAACCCTGCCATATTGGCTAAAAAAAAAGTTTGACTCAACTTCTGGCAATGTTGCAAATTTGCAGCATTGAATACATTTTTTTTATCCTTGGGGGGAAAAATAATCAGAAATTAAAGCAGCCTTTTTTAATTGGCTTTCTGCTTCAGACATAGATTTTAATTTGGTTGAAAGCTGTTTTTTGGCCTTGATGCCGATGCAGATTTTCATCACTTGAAAAGGAACACTTAAACAGTCCCTTTTCTGCATTTAAACATCTGAACCACAGCTTATTGCAGTAGGGTTTCATTGTGATGAGCTGATTTATAGGTTTCAGAACTAGCGCACTTTGCAGCAGAGCTGGGTTCAGGTTGAAGTAAAGGTGAGACAGGTCAATGTCTATGCTCCTGAAGATTGAATGGACACTTGGGCAACATAAAAGCATCTTCTGTTACAGATTTATGGGATTTTGAGCAGATCGTTTTGAAAAAGCTGCAGTTAAGCATAAAATAGAATCTTGGAAATTTTTTAATTTGATTTTATAAGTAGTGTATTTTATTTTCATTTCTGATAACTTGGACTTATCCAACTATTAAGATTTACTAGAATAGCAGAGTATGTTTAACAGATGTTAATTAAAGGGTTTTGACATTAGCCTAAAAGGTTATGTGCATGGCTAAGGAAACACTGGTACTGTTCAAATGTTTCTAAACACATGTAAATGTTCATCACTTGAATTTATGTATAAAAATAGAATCTTATTTTGAGTATATCTACCAAAATGTGTACTTTCCAGTTTAATATAACAAGATTCATCCATGTAAATATGTATATGATGTACCATACATTTTAAATTTGTGAGAAACCAATTTTTCCAAAGGGCCCCAATTTTGCCACAATATAGTTAAAGGCATATTTGAACTATATGTTTAGGAAAACAATAGAAGAGATTAGGACAGCAGGGGTAAGGACAGTTAGAGAACCATTTTCTACAAAATAGCAGGCTGATGAAGTATGTTCATTGTAGGTTGCACAAACCATTTTCATTATTTTTTTTTTTAATCCTGACTTAGGTAGGACTATTGACTAAGTAAATTGACCGAGTAACTTGGAATAACAAGTTATTCTCTTGCCTTAATTATGAACATGTCATGTTTCAATGAAAGTATATACAGTAGCAGCCCTTCTGTGGCTGCTATAAGCTATTCTACAGTTTCACTGTCAACTAAGGAAAAAGCAGTGTGGATTATTCAGGTGCTGAGCTGCATCTTGCCATCCCTGTTAATTTTCAGCCTTGTTATTAAGAAGTTCAGCGCAAGATTACATTACCATTTTACATAGTGGTGATATGCCATCAAGTGGAATGAAACTAATGCTAACCAGAACCTGGACATCCAGAGTGTATTGGAGTCAGAGAGCTAACTGTAGGTCACACACTTGCACACTTTCTTTCAGCTAGCTTCTGAATCTAATCAGAGATCTTCAAGGCACATATGCCTTCAGGCAGCAGTTGGCAGAAGGTGTTAAGGTGGATGAATTGATGATAAAATAGATGGAGTTTTTTAAAAGGTGTTATCTGTCAGAGTTTTAATTTTTAAAGATGTGCCAACACAAAGGTCTATTAGCTTCCTCATGGCCGTCACACTTTGAAACAAGAAAGGGCCTTTCTCTTATCTTTCTCTTATCTTTATCCCTTCCTTTCTGAAAGCAGGGGAAAGTGGTCTTTTCTCTGTACTAGTCAGGAACTGTACTGCAAAAACTATACTTCTCAGAATATTAAGGCGCTATTTCTTTGTGTGGTTATAGTCTGTAAACAGACCCTCATTGTTGAGTTTCTAGCAGAGTGGGCCTATTCAAAGTTCCATCTGATCCTTAATGATGCAAATATATAATTGTTTTTAGTCCATAGTAGCACTATGTTCTCTCTCTCTATATCTGAAGATGTAAAACTACTATCCCCCCTTGCACATGTAATTACAAAGACCTGTTCTAGTTTGACAATAGCTATCAAAAGTTACAGCTCTTTCTTGTGTGACCCAGCACTAAAATACATTTTCCGTTGTATCGAAGTGTGCTACTATATTAAGATTAAAATGCAAAGTAATGCAAAAAAAACTGACAGTAAAAGACAAGTAAAATAATATTGCATTACATTTTGATTGTAGGACATATTTGGGGATATATCCTAGTAATTAGACAAACATTAATTTTTGACTCTAAAATTGTACTTCAGAACATATAAATGAAAGGATGCTTTTTGCCCTTGACAATGATTGAGGTCAAAAGTTTAAATGCTAACAGATTTAAAGAAAGGCAATTTTCTTAAGTAAAATTGTGTTCTCTTTCTTCTTTTTTCAGCATGGAATAAACCTATTACAATTTTCTTAAGTATATGTCTAACACTGCTTTACGCCTCTGAAAGGTATCTCTCTCACAACCCGCTGATTTTGTGCTTCGGATGGTTAAGACGATGATTGTGCTACTACCCTTTGTTCATGTAGCTGAACGTAGTGTGGCTACCCATTAATCTCTATCACAAAAGCAGTGCCCAGTTAAATGTATTTTATAGCGCCTGAGAAAAGTAGCTAATACAACTGACTGGGCATTATCATTACATCCTTTCCACTAAAGATTCTTACTAGGTAGATATTTGAATCTGCCAGAACATTATGCACTTTCATAATATCTAAAAAATATGACAACATGGTGTGATATATCCTGCTTGTTTTCAAACTTGGGTATTGCATAACTTGCATTGCTTTATGAACAATCAACGGAATGCTGATTGACCTGGGGTTGACCTGGGGACATTCATGTGGAAAAAAAATCTACTTCTCTTTTTTTGGGGAATGCGTTGCAGGTTATCCTTAACATCAGTTTTCATTGTGACTGTTTACTGTGCTATACAGTATCTCTTTGTTAATTGTTCAGCTGATCAAACTAGAGTGATTAACTGGACTTATGAAAGGACATGTACTCTAGATAGGTATTAACAGATGTCAGCAGTTGATAAGACGTAAGCCTTTTTAATGCGGTTCCACTGGGATATTGCTCTCTGCCCTTGTTTCTACGTAAAGCATGGTTACAGAGCATGCCCTTTGTTTGGTTTATGATGTACAATGAAATCAAACTGTATTGTGACGCTTCTTAGTAAATCGGAAGGAGTGGTTAAGGGGTAAGCCAACACCTGTTTTTTTCAGTTGATCTTCCATACCTTATGTTTGACTGTTTTGTTCATTGTTTTGTTCATTCTTTGCATTTTTGTTGTTTCTTCCTACATTAACTGCTGCGTTTCAATTTCTTACCCATTTACCTTGCAGACCATTTTCCCTTGATAGAAAAAGCAACCACTCACTGACTTTGTCAGGAGGCATAGTTTAATTTAACCTGGTAGACTTATAAGGGAAATAGTTCCCAGGTGTACTCTAGAAAGATTGTTCCACTTTGCAGCTTTAATTGGCAGAAGGAAGATCCATTTCTGAAGGTCTGGTTGGGTGTCTAATTAAACCTGACTCACCAATGGCAAAAAGCCTTAATCTTCAAAATGCTTGTGGATATAAACTGTCAGAATTGTAATGTTAGTAGATTCTTTTATTCCAAAGGCTTTGGTGTCTTTCATCTCCAAAGATCTCTCCTTTTGGGGGCACAGGTGAACTTTAGAGCATCTTGCTAAGTTCTGTGCATTTCAGCTCGATTGTGCCTTGTTTAGAGGCATAATGGAGATATTAGTTTTTTCTTGGCTACAGGTTAACACAGAGTGAAACTGCTATTTCATTTAGTCAAACTGCTAAGCACTGCTCTTATCGGGAATTGACGTTTCTTTCTACCTTCTGAGATTGAGAATTCTGTCATGTTACTTCAGTATTGCTATTCCTTTAGTATTTTTTCCCCTCTTTCTGTGAAGTAGTCTTTAATTCAGAACATCATCTTCTCACCTCAAGATCAGTATGCTCCTCATTCCTCAGCTGGCTGAGGGGAAAAAAAACAGCATTGTGCCTGACGTACAAACTGCTGAGACTCCAAACAAGTTTGGAGGCAATCATCATAATTCATGGAGCACTGCTTGGGTTGGAAAATCTTCCGCACTGCCTCTTGAAATCAGGAGATTGCTCACCACTCTCCTGGTGTCACTAAGAGGTACAGGGCATGTAGTTTCATATTTTGTACTCAATAGGAGAGTTTGCAAAAAGTGTCTGCAAGCATTTAGTATTGCTTTTATTGGTGCTTTTGCCTTAATGTGGTTCCTAGTGGTTAAACATATTTGTCCAGAACTCTTATCTGTCTTTTGCAAATATTAGAACTAGAAGCAAGCATAGTTGTCTGCTATTTTTTCTTTTCTGGAAAATTTGTACTTAGGCCTAACTTGCTAATTGTAAATATAACTTCAACTTTAATTTTCAAAATGCTTAGGAATATATGTTGTGAGAATTATAACATTAGCAAAGTCTCTTATTCCAAAGGCTTTTGTGCCTCTTGGTACCTCTGAATTGGTCTTTACCAGTTTTCTAAGGTTTTTTGATTAGGTCTTTGATTTTGGTTAACTGATGGAACAGTATGACTCTTTGGTGGAGAACTGTTTGGAGAACTTTGTTGGAGTTCTGCCAGTTCGCAGTTGTTCCAGTTAACATTGTTAGTTTTACAAACCTGTTTTTTTCCCCAAAAAAGCTTTATTCTCTCTTGTCTGTTCACATTATTTGTGTCATGGTGCTTGTGCAGAGCCATGAGCAGGTTTGACAGCTGGTGAGCTCCTCAGTTCAGAGAGGTAATCATCATCCCTTCCTCCTTCCTTATATCAGAAGATGTCAAAAAATGAGAGGAGGTTTCCTGTTGCTTTCCCATGGCATTGTTGAAGGAAA